AAACTCGCTAGGGTAGCTTGCAACACTGATGCAACACTGTTGTCAGCCGATACAACATTTTCATGTTAGATAACCTTGAAGAAACCGATTTAGCTGTAAAGTTGAAAGCTATGTTGGTGCAACAATTTAATGAGCAACATGCATCTTTTTCCAGCATACAACATTTTCTGCACATCAAAGACAATCAACGTTACTAGAATGTGGACCAAGCGCTATCTTTTGAGCACCATAGCAAATTAACCATTGTAAATACCGTTGCTCGATTAAAAGTTTAGCTCAATCAGAAAGCGTATAATCCTCTCCCTTCCACCAGCATTTCTTCTGATAGTGATTCTGTTGATTACACTGTAAACTTGCCATTGAAAGATAAGCTTGACTTATCAATTTTGAAAAATAAGAAATGTAACAACAAGGGAAGATTGAATATTTTGAATAATTCAACAAAAATTATATATATTGAGCAGTTTTCGAAGAAGAAATTGGGAATATATTTGCAAAATTCCTACCAATACTTGAAAACTGCGAAGCCAACAAGTGTCGAATTGGAGCGTTGATATTTTTGCAAGTGGCAACAAAAAATTATATCATCTCTTGAGGAAGATACTCTAAACGCCCTATGTTTTTTATGGGCTCATTTTACAAAGGAGAAAAAAACAAAAATTGAAAAAGTCAGAAAAATTAATATTACTAATATAATTATTTGGTGTCACTCCTTTGATTAGGATTCTGCACGAGTAACTCCTTCCTCAATCAATTATTTATATTTATTCTTAATAATTATATTTTGATTTTATTATTTATAATATTATAGATATTTTTATTCTTATCATTTTTATTATTATTATTGTTATTGCTATTATTATTATTATTATTATTACTATTACTATTACTATTATTACTGTTATTACTATTACTATTATTACTATTACTATTATTGTTATTATTATTATTATTGTTATTATTATTATTATTATTATTATTATTGTTATTATTATTATTATTATTATTATTATTATTATTATTATTAATATATTATTGTAATTATATGATTGTAAATTTTGGAGAAAATAAATATCTTGTTGTTGTTGTTGTTGTTGTTGTTGTTGTTGTTGTTAATTAATCCATTTATTGGGCAGGTGAAAAGAGTACTTTTAGTAATAGATATAGGTATGCATATATTATGTATATAATATCTATAGAACTTTAGAATTGTTTTGATTAGTATTTTAAAAAATTAGTAAACTTAAAAAAAAATTTGATGAGCAAGCAGAAGGATTTGAACCCCTGCAATGCACTGACCCATCAGCAGTAGCCAACCCTCGGAATTTGGAAAAAAGAGGTTGGCAATAGTTTGCTGACCTCAATCTTTTTTAAGTCGTCATCAGGTCAGCAAAAATTATTTAATACAAAGGTCTGACCATAAAACATAGAAACGAGGTGGGCAATTTTTTGCCAACCACAAACACTTTCAGATCGGCAGTTAGGTCGGCATTGCTGAATGCCGACCCGAATTGCGAGGGTTGGCAGTAGCATAGTGAGTAACCAATCAGGCCGCTAAGGCAGACTGTACTCATGTTTTTTAACATTTTTTATAAACTAAAAGACATTTTCTAATTTATAAATTAATCTTTATCAATGCTTAAAATTAAAAATTAAGCACAATGCTGAAATGTGATACTAATATAAAATAAAAAACTTAAACTTTTCTAGTTGAGCACAGTAGATCTCACTATGAAAAATGTAAGAAGCAAGTTTTACTATGAAGTACCACATACCAGGAACAAAGACCTGTTTAAGTACTGCCTTAGGACGCAGACCTGTTTTAGTACTGCTGGAGCGGTATGGACGTCCAAAAAAAAGTCCCAAAATATTATTTTTATTTTTTAATCATTCTTTTGCATTTCTTATTTAAAATAGAAAAAAAAAATTCAATTTAAAATGCAGTAGTATATAAACAAATTTCAGTTAATTTTAGCTACCTCATTTTTTCTTCAGATTGTTAAATTGAATTAAAAAGAAATTGCTTTTTATGTAACTACGTGACGTAACTGTCAATTGGTTACTAACTGAAGGTTAGTTTTAAAAAAGATAATGTCGTTACAAAACTTAATTTTAAAACCTAGTAGCAAAATTTTATAACAATGAAATGTATAGAAAATTTGCTATTTCGAAAGATAAAGCGATTTAAAAATACCCATTTAGAGTAAACTTTTGTTTTTTGGCAATTAAGAGTAAACTGCTTTTGATAATCAATGAATTTTTGGATTGCTTTTTTAGTTTTGCATGAGGAAAACGAAACGAAAACTTTTTCAGAAAACTTTGTTTCTTTTCCATATGAAGAGCTTATTTTCAAAACGCTGTATGAGCAATTTTATTTTTATGTGCCAACTTAAATTAAAAAATTTACTTGACTTGAAAAATAACACATAACTAATGTTAATAAAGAGTAAAAAAAAACAAACAACTAATTAATTATAAATAGACTAAAAAATGTTTACAAAGTGCTTTATGCATTAATTATTTTTTTAATTAAATAATATATAAAGCGGCACATAAAATCGAAATTGCTTATACTAGGTTTTGAAAATAAGCTCTTCATATTCTTTTTGATTTTTAAAATAATAAAAATAACAATTACAAAACTTAATAAAATTTTTATTAATCTGTTTAAAATAACCCATAGTCAATGTAAGTTATTTATTAAACGTAATTTTTAAAATTATATTTAATGATTAAAAAATACTATATATTTTTAAAAATATAATATGTTTTATAATCAAAAAAATATAACATCAAAAAAATTTTGTTTACAGTAATCATCTATTCTTTAAATATGATCAATTAAAAAAGCGCCTTAAAATCACTTTAAAAATTATTAACCTTTAGTAAAAGTTAAATGAACAGATTTGCTAATATTTAAATCAAAATTTTAAAATTAAAATAATAGTAAAGGCTTATTAAATGCTTATGTTTTGAATAGTTATTTGAACACGAGAAATAAAACTATTTTAATAATTTTACAAATATTATGCAGATTTAATATATGTAATTATATAATGTAATGTAAATATTTATTAAAAATTGTTTGAAGTATTTGAACATTTAATTACTAATTATTTAAAGTATTAATAACTGTTAAAATTAAATATACTAAAATATAGTCAATAAATGTTTAAAATACTTTAAACAATTTTCAATAACTATTTTCTAATAGCTTGGTACTTGCAACAAAAGCATTTATAAAAAGTAAAATAGTTTTCATATCAAATGATTAAAATGATGATTGAAAAAATGATGATTAAAAATCATTGTTGTGGAACCGGTTTTAACTAGGGGAGGAGAAGGAGAGGGGAGGGGAGGAGAAGGAGAGGGGAGGGGGGAAGAACTAAAAAATACACCCCCTCTCAACATTGAGATCAAGAGTCAACATCAAAAGATATCAATATCTAGTTTCATCTTCTAATTCATAGTTATTTTTATCAAAATGTTTAAATTAATTTGATGCTGTAGCATGTGAGGCAAATACCTAAGCTATTGCAACAGCAATATTTTGAACCACTTCTCAGAAGAATGGCATCTTTAATATTTATTTAGTGTGCAAGGACTTTTGGGATTTTTTCATTTTTTAAATTTTAAAAGTGTATAATAAAAATTTAAAATATATTAGTACACTAAATATATGTGCATTTATTTTCCTTGATATATTACATCTATGTTTAAATACACAGCGCAATCTTGTTGCTGCACACTTTTGTGCACCAACAATAAATAAAGTTTTGCACTTGAACTATATAAATTCAAAGTGCAGAATGTGCACTGCACAAACAGTTGTAACAGTCCATTAACAGGCTGTAACCGTTAACAGGCTGTAACAAAGTGTACACATCGACTAAGTAAGATTTAGGCATAGTTGATTTTACAATCAACATGTAGATACATCAACTGAGGGTTTGGTCAGATATTCTTTTAACTAAAAGAACGTCTTCTCTAAAAAAAAAAAAAAAAAATGTTTCATCAAAAAATTGAGAACCCCCTAACCCTCGTAACAAATTGTTACAAAATCGTCTACACCAAGCATGACGTAATTTGTGGATGACCCAAAAAGTAAAAATATAAATTAAAATCAAAATTATCTTTTAAAGTTAATTCATTTTAATTTTATAATAAATAATTTACTTAACTTTTAAATAAAATAATATTAAAAACAAAAAAACGCAAGTTTTATTTTAATTCTAAATAAAATAAAAACAGCAAAATAAACGTTTTATTTATTTTCTATGTAAAATATTTAAAATAAAAATGACAAAAACAAAAATCATTTTTTTTTTAAAAAAAAACATGTTTTAAATAAAATTTAAAAAAAAAAAGTTTTATTTAATTCTAAATAAAATAGTTTATTTATACTTTAATTAAAATAAATGTGGCAAAACTAAAACTTAATTAAAATAAATGTGGCAAAACTAATGTTAACTTAAGTTCTAAACTAAATAAATAAAACAAAAAAGGCAATGTTTTATTTATACCCAAGATAAAACATTTAAAAAGAAATTTAAAGAAATTTAATTTAAAACGTTTATTAAAATTTTAACTAAACAAATTAAAAAAAAACCCGGCAAAACAAACAATATATTTAAATACTAAACAAAATAATTAAAATTAAAATGGCAATAGAAATTTGATTATGTAAGGTATAAAAAAAAATGCATTTTAAATTTTAGTAAAATTTAATTAAAAATTGATCGTCTAAAAAATGATTTGATTGTCTGGTTTTTAGCTTTTTTTTATTTCAGCTGATCAATATTGATCGACAACTGTTAAATAATTATTTTGAGTGATGAATATATATATAATATATTAAGGAAAAAAAATTCAAAAAAGTGTCTAATTATTTTTGCATACACCCAATACATACAATAGTTAAAAATTATTATCTATAAGAAATTATAACTTAGAATAAAATTTAGAAATAATTGAAAAAAAATTAATACATAAGATATTACCTTGGGTAGTATGAAAGCTCACCAAGGGACTGGGTTGACTTTCATACTTTTCATTTGCAGCCTTAACCTGCAACTCATACTGAGTATCAGAAGAAAGGGATTCTAATTTATGAGTATCACTTGTATTGATGTTTAGTATGATGGTTTTAAACTGCTTATCTACCACTCGCCGATAATAAAGAATATAGCTCGTAATTCGACTTGGGTTTACATACTAAATTTTTTTAAAAAGCAATAATGTAAAAAAATGTTTTTTCACTAAAAAATGCAATCAAAACCATTAAAATTTTCTAAATTAAATTTTTTTATCAAAATTATAACCTTTTAATTTCTAAAAATAAATGTGGCTACCTTATTTATAAAATGTGTCTATTCTATAGACACATTTTATAAATAAAATTATTCCAAATATAATTTTATTTATTACTTTTAATTTTTTTATTTTTAATAAAGATATATTATTATTATACTTTCATTAATATACTTTTCAGTTTAACATTTATTATTTTTAGTTTAACATTAAAATAACTAACTTTAACATTAAAATATTCTGCTGTACTTTGAATACTAATGAGCTAAGCTTATCAGTTAAAAATTAGTATCCTTGATGAGATTTTCTTTTTTAATTCTGATTCACTCCCAACAAGGCTGCAAGCAACCATTATTAAGTTGGGAATTACTAGAAAAAAAAGAATAGAGTTATAGAGCAAGAAATCAGTTGACAGAAGACTTAAAAGACGGGAGAAAGTTCTAGAGATGATAGCTCCATTGAAAAATAAAAAAAAAAAACAAATTTAAACATAATGTATATACTTACATCCCATTTTACTTCTGCACTTTGGGGTGTTATTTTATCAACTTGCACATTTAGGACAACATTTTCAAGCTTATCAATCATAGGAGCTAGATAGTAAATTTAGAATATGTTAAAAAAATATTATTACATAAACTTTAAAATAATTAACTATAAAAAAATATAAAACAACCTGTCACAATTTGCAATGTCTTGATTTGAGGTGATAATCCAGCTATTCCTTCTCCATTTTTATTCTTTGCAGCAACAGAAAATTCATATAAAGTATCAGGTGAGAGATTGTCAATGACTCTCTCTAAGGAATTCATATCAAAATGAATAGTTTTACTTGTTTCATTGGTTGATACTTTCTTTAATGTAATAATATAGGCAGTTACTGGAGCAAGTGAATTTGGAAAACTACTTTCCCAAAAGATTTTAGCAGAAGTAGCTTGAATATCGCTAACTTTGACATTCAATACTTCAGCAGGACGTTTGTTGTCAGATTCTAATTTAAAAAATAATTTAAAAAATCTAAAAAAAAGTAAACTAGACAAAAAAAAAATCATATACAATAATTTTCCCATCGAATCTTGATAGGCCATGTTTAGCTTAAAAAATTTGCTTAAAAATAGCTTAAAAAATTTGTTTTTAAAAAAAAATAAAAAAGTATATATATATATATATATATATATATATATATATATATATATATATATATATATATATATATATATATATATATATATATATATATATATATATAAATATATATATATATATAAATATATATATATATATATATATATAATATATATATATATATATATATATATATATATATATATATATATATATATATATATATATATATATATATATATATATATATATATATATATATATATATATATATATATATATATATATATATATAAGTGAAGTTTTATAAAAATTTCAAAAACAATAAAAAAAATATATGGAAACACAGATTCAAAAAGTTTATTTTAAAAACTATGAAAATATGTACTTTTTTGTTAAAAAACAAATTTTTTAAGCTATAAAATTTAAACTAGTAATCTTTATATAAAATGATTATTGATTTTGGATGTTTTATAAAATTTCACTTCTTTTGAGACCTTATTTGATATACTTTTAAAGAACATTTTTTTTTTCAAAATATTATGGACCCCTCTGATATTTAAGGGTCTTCAGTGACCCCAAAAATTTTTTTGATATAAAGATTTTTTGAATCTATTATTAATTTATTACATAGAACACATTTAGGAGGTATCATCAGACATTTTTAAAAAATGTTGTTTTATGACACACCCTAGTATATATATGCATATATATATAAATAAATAATATATATATATATATATATATATATTATATATATATATATTATATATATATATATATATATATATATATATATATATATATATATTATAATATATATATATATATATATATATATTATACATTATATTATATATATATATATATATATATTATATATTATATTTTTTATATATATATATATATATATATATATATATATATATATATATATATATACATATACATATATATATATATATATATATATATATATATATATATATATATATATATATATATATATATATATATATATATATATATATATATATATATACATATAGCACTCCGTTGCAAGTCAGGCTGTCAGGCTATAAGATAGTCAATGTAGTAGCATTCCGCGCATGTATTACAGTTAAAAAAAAACAAAAAACATTTAGAATGTTTTTATTTTTAAAAAATAAAATAAAATACTCAAAACAGTTTTAAAAGCATTTAAAATGTTTTTAAAAACATTCTGGTCTTGTATATTTATATATATATATATATATATATATATATATATATATATATATATATATATATATATATATATATATATATATATATATATATATATATATATATATATATATATATATATATATATATATATATATATATATATATATATATGAAGAGTCCAGGGGAAAAAATGGCAGTCACATTTTATTCGTTTTGAGAAATTCAATTTTTAAGTTTTAAAACCATTTTTTAATAATAAGTTGATAACTTGACTTTTAATTAGTGACTTTTTTAAAATTAATTCCACATTAGTAACTATTTCAATAAGGTAAAATCAAGGTATATTTATTCCGGTTAAGAAAATACAAGTTTTATTATTTAATATTTGAAGTAGGGTCAAAACGGACTATGCTGGTTTTTTCAGCGTAAAATGTTTTTTTCCCTTTTTCTTTCATATTTATTCACAAAATCATAATAGAATATATATTTTTGCAATATTTTTATTTCCTTTTATTATACTACCTTCTTTTCATCAAAAATGTTGGAATATTTCCAATGCTAAATGATAATTAGGTTGTCTGCAATTTAGGTCATTATTGACCAAAATTCTGTCATTGTTCTATTTGGTATAAACTATGCTTAACAATGTTTGAATTCTCTTTATTTAATATAAATTTAGAATTTCAATTCTTATAAATTTTATTACATAAAACTAAAACTTAATTTTCAAAACACTTTCAAAACAAATAACAAAACAAGATTTTTTTTCAAACAAAAAAATTTTATAAAAAAAAATATATTTATATAAATTCATCATCTTTATTTTTGATGTCATCATATGGCAGCGAATCAAAAAAATCAGGGTTGTTTGTAAACTTTTTAAGTACCTGAAGATCTTTAAATTTAGCTATTGATAGTCTCTCCGTATACAAGTTTAACAGGTTTTCTAATATTGGCAGTTTTCTTTTTCTTTTTACATTTCGACTAATGGATATATTTAAATATTCACCATTCCAACATTCTCTATAAGACATTATTCCAGGAGAATTAATAGAAAAAAGCACTTCTCAAAGAGGTCTTGTAGCTACAAGACATGCAGCTTTGTAGAGAGGATTTAAAAAATGAGTCATATTTTTGAATATGTCCTGGTTTGGTTAAAGTACGTGAAAAGGAATCGGGTTTTTGCGAGCATCTTTAAATATTTTAACCCAATTAGAAGGTATATTAACTTGAGATTTGCAGTTAATGAGACCCATATCTTTGTCACACTCCATGTAGAAATGCCCCTTTTTAGGAAAGGTAACTTTAATGGAGTCAAATCTTTTTTTGTTTTGAATCATACAATCCAAAAACCTAAAGACTGTATAATTTTTATTTTTGCCGTCCACAAGAATCACAGAATAAATTTATATTTTTGACTAATGGACTTAAATGATGAATAAAAAAATCATGCAGTGTTGATATCATTTCATCTGCACCGTTTTTTGCAACAGTTTCATTATAACTATAGATAAAAACATCTTCATTTGCTAACAAATGAATGTTGAAAGAAAAAAATGAAAGTTTCCTTTTATAATAAAAATCATTGGTAGAGTTATTTGGCACATTTAAATTTTTTTGATAGTCAAATGTAATGGCTTCAACTTTTTGCTCTCTCAACGCTTTCAGTCTAGCTTCACTTTTTCTTCTATAAAAAGTTTCAGCCTTTTTTTGGTGAAAATCTCTTTCAAATTTTTAATTTAATCTTCAAATCTTGTGCTTCAGGATTAGCTAAGATATCTTTAGAACAAATATCAATTCTAATTTTTAGTTTGTCACACATAGAACATGTGTCTGTTCAAGGATAACCAAAAGCAATATTAAACTCATATAACAGTTAAATACTGTTCTGTATGACTCATAACAAATCTTTACATTTAGGTAAAGAATCACAAACATGTTATACATTTTATTTATATTCAGTTCCTCAGGTAAATAAATGTGTCTAGTTTTCTCTTGAGAATAGTGAGACTACCTTCCCCTGAATGATGAAATATGGGTTATTATTTTTTCATGCACATCATCTAAAATCTTATGCGGCCTAGTACAATGTTTTCCTCTCATATCTTTTGGTGGTTCACCTAAAATGATATTGATAAGTTTCAGTTGTTGTAAATACAATGTAAATTTTATTCTAAAAATAACTGTTGCCTTTTCGAGCTATTAAAATAATTATGTTTCTATATAAAATTGGTATCTACTAAAACACTGCACCTGTAGTTGAAATACTTATATTTATTCTTTCCAATCTACCTTTTTTAATGCCAAATATAGAAACAAAGGCTTTGAAACACACTCGAACAAATTGAGATTTACCATTGTTTACAAACAATTTCTATTGGTAGCTAAAACTATTATTTCTGCTTGCTTTATATTTATCTGGTCTTCTTCTTTTTATGTTACCGTTATAAGTCCAGCAAGAAAAGAATCTTGCATTTCTTTGCTTGCAATTGAAGTAAATTTTTTTTTTTTACTTTACTCATAGCTTTAACAAGTTCATCACAATCAGCCATCTTTATTAAATATTTTTAACGCTTGAGGAAAATCATTGGATATCAAGATCAGGTGAAGCCAGATATTTCAAGAACATGTGGACATGACATTTTTTCATTGTAAACATTGGACTTTGCCTTTTGTGTTTTGTTTGTTTCTACATACATAGAAACAAACAAACACAATATATAGATTAATGGAATAGGAACACATAAAAGACATTCATATAAACAAACATATATGTTTGTATGTACATATATTCATTTTTAAATAATTAATCTATTACAAAAAAACCATTTGAAACAAAAAGCTTGAAAAAAAATTTCTAATGTGAATTACATAACATAAAAAAAAATTAACTAACCTAAAATAGTAACATGTGCTTGAGCCTGTGAAGAACCTCCTTTGCCATCTGCAATGCACCTAAAATAATATATTTTAAAAATCATAAAACAGAAATAAAACTTAAATTTTTTGAGAAAGAAACAAAAAATTTCCCAATAAAGATATTAACTCAACTGCTATAATACCTATATATTCCGGAATCCTGCAGAGTAACATCCTTAACAGTTAGCATTTTTCCATTTTTTATTTCTTCTAATAAAACTGTTGGACTAACTGTGATTGGTTTGCTTGCTAAATACCATGCTAGTTGTATATTACCTTCTCCTGTTGTGCAATACAAAGAAAAAGAACCACCTTCATGCACATCAGAAACAACCGCAGGAGAGACATTCACAATTGGAGGAGCTTCAAGAACATCTATAGTTACAAAACAAATACAAATATAAAAAATGTCAAATAGAAAGAAAAAAAGTTTAAATTTAACACACACATGCTTCTTCAAATATATTATTTTGTGTACTTAAAAACTATTTAAAAGATTTAAAATGTTAACAAGTGCATATTACTAATCTAACTTATAAAATTTTTTTTTTTACCAATAACCAACAATAAAACTGGCTCTGATTTTTGTGACCATTTCATTTCTTCATCATTGGCATAACAATAAACTTCTCCTTTATCTGAAATCTTTGCTTGTGAAACAACAAAACGAGATTCACTATCAACATATATTCTGTCATTTGTAAATCCTGTGTTGCTATAAGCTTTTCCAAGATGATACCATGTAATAACTGGATTTTTTCCACCAGTAACTTTGCAGTCTAATGTTGCCTTATATCCAACCCCTACACTTGTTTCTGATGGAGGAACTTTAATTTCAGGGTGTTCTGAATAAAAAAGAAATTCAATAACAACAAAAATGTTGAACACTTTGTAATAATAAAACAATATACAAACTGTTGTATTATTTAAACACAACAAAAACAATTTGTAATGTTAAAATGACTAAAATAAATTATTACTGAACACTCTGAGTTGATTATTGAATTTATCTGTTCCAGCATCATTAGATACAGTGCACTCATAAATACCACTATCACCTAACTTAGTATTTTTAATTTCTAGGTAGCCATCTTTTGGATAATTTAATCTCTCTTTTTCTGGTAGAATGCTATCTATTTTAGTCCATATGCGATCAGGATATAAATTAAAGAATTGCACTTCACAATATAAAATTGCAACAGCTCCTTCATAAACTTCAGTTAAATTTTGTTTTGAAATAATAACAGGTGCTGGTACTGAAAATAATATAAGAAAAATGCAATATTTATTGAATATTCATGAATTATTTATGAATATTTATTATTTAAACATAATTTATACTATAACCTCCAAAATTACTTTATTTAATAAATTTAAAATTTTTCTTTAAGATTACAAACTAATGTCACACTTTTCTAGCTATTTGTTAAAAAAAAGAAGCCTGTTCCAGACGGTGGTTATTAACCAACATTGCCTAAACTAAAATCTCTGTTTTTAAAATCAAGCTTTTCAATGACTTGTTAAAAGAATACAATTTAATATTTATACAGTTAAAGATTGTTTTTTAAAATTCATTATTACATTAATCAATTTGTAACCTTCAAGTTTTTAAATTCTGCTATTTTTAATATTTTTGAAAGTTATGACCATATAAAGTTTCCACCTTTCCCAAATTAAGAGGGTTGTAAATTTTACAAGGTCATAACTTTCAAATTTTAAAATATTAATAAATTTTTTATTTAAAAATTAGTAGAAATTTTTTTTTATTAGAAAACGCCTCCCCAAGGCCATAAAGGTCACAACAAATGAGGAGGCTACTTTAATTGTGGTTATAACCCTCTCTCAACTCTATAACTGCAAAAAACAAACCTTGATAACCAAGGCCTCTGCTTAGAGAAACAACTTGAGCAGAGTACTACCAGATATGTGGTGGGGATGAAACTCAATATTGTAAAAATATATTTGTATAACTCATTCTCTCACATTTGGGGTGTAGGATGTATGTGGTGTAGGGTGTGTATGAGGGTAGGGGGGTGTGTGTGTGGACTTTTTGGGATATTTTAGTACACTAGCTCCAATCATAGCAATTATTTTGCAAAACATTCCTTATTGACATAACCGTAAAAATACATAAGTTTAGAGTTTGCACAATGTAAAGAATGTATTTGAAAAGTCGATGCAATTTGTTAAGTGAGCAGAATATATTTTTAAGTTGATACATTTGAAATTAAATTAAAGAAAAAAATTTAAATGTAATTTTAATTACTTCATTAGTATTTTACTATGTTATAAAAATTATGCATGTCCATTTAAAAAGTCTAAATTTAAAAAAAAAAAAAAGTACTTTTGATAATCTATGACAAATGTTGGTTTCAACAAATTAAACTTCTATTTTAAACTGTGACTTAAAAATGTGACCAAGAGCTATTTAGCATTTGGAAAAATATTTTAATAACAAATTCTTTTTAATGTTTTTTAATGTTGTAAAAAATGTAAAAGAGAGGCAAAAAATATTATAAACTTAAATAATACCTTTGACTTTGAGTACTGCCACATTGCTCAAAGTATATCCTGCAATATTACTTGCATTACATTGATAGTCTCCACGATTTTTCCATGATAAATATGTCAATTTTAAAAGTGAAACATAACGATCATTTTGCAAGCTCCAATTGTCTGTTGCTAATGGTTTCCCGTTATGCAGCCAAGTCACAATTGGGATGGGAAAGCCATCTGGTGCTATACATCTAAATGTGTGATCCTGTAAGCGAGTTGTGTTTGCACTTACTGGACTCTGGTAAAATACTGTGTCAATATCTAAATAAAGTCAAATTACTAATGTCATTTATAAATAAATAAAAAACTGTATTTGATATTATATGTAGAATGCTTCTAAATTGTAAATATAAATTGATTTCAAAATTCTATTAATTTAATTAAATTATATAAATTTTAGTAATTATTATTTTAATTTTTTTATTTATTTATAATACTACAGTCTTGAAAAAAAGTTTAAGACCACTTGCAAAAAACTGAAAATTTAATGAAAAAATTATTACAGTACAAAAAATAATTGGAAAATTATTTTTTGATTATTTAATAATAATTGAGAAATTGTGTTAACTAGCTATGGTTGCCAAATAAAAACTTATACAGGCTCATTTTAGGCACCAAAGTATAGTATTTATATGTGGTGGTCTTAAACTTTTTTCCAAGACTGTAAATTAACTGATGTTGGAACAAACGATAAATTAAAATATGTAAATTTTGACTGCTATTATTTTTGCAGTCCTAAATTTATTGTTTTGTTTATTTTATAATTTTTTGCAATATGAATAATTGACACTTTCATTAAAACAGAGTTCACGGTTTTTTATGAACTGAAAATTTGACAACCAAAAATCGTTCTAGATATTATGATTTACAATCACTTACATATAAATGAGAAAAAGTGTGGTTAAAATCATAACTTTAAAGGTCATCACATCTAGAAAACCATGTTTAACTACAGTGATCAGATTTTGATGAGACAAGCCGGTCAAAAGTTTGAATGCACTCATTCTCATATCATTAAAACTCATGCCAAGTACACTGATATAAGAACCTATACAAAATATGATAAACTGATTGACAAGATTTTTAGGAAATATTGGTGATTGTTGACAATGAGCCTTACTTCTGTTGATTGTAAATTATGCTGTTGTATTTTACGATCAATAAAAATGGTACAGACTGCTGCAGTTAGACAACATAGACAAGACTCTGTCAAGCGATAAATAATGCATAAAGCGCAAGTTCAAACTAGACCCGGTATCATTGCTTTATGCCAAAACCATAACCAACAGCTTCAAGACCCTTGACACCAATTTTGTCAATAACATCAACAATCTGTTGGCTGCGAATGAGGATAAATGGCGAGCAAAAAATGTGAAGTAATTAATATTGTAATTACTTCTACAAATTCTGAGAAAAAAATGTAAATATTATTTAAAAAAAGCTGTTATTTATAAAATTTAATAGCTTAAAAATTTAAAAAAAAATTTATTAGAGCAAATGTTTGTTTCATATTACTTTTTCTTGATTAAACCTTTTAAATTTATATTTATTTAAAACTAAAAAATAGGTTAAAAACTTACATATAAATTTCACAGTAGCTGGAGGACTTTCAATTTTGCCGTATGGATTTTCTGCAATACATTTATATAAACCTTCATCACTTTTTTGTGCATTCTTAACCACTAGTGCACCAGTTTCTGTAACAACATGAGTATTTAAGGGCTTATCATCTTTATACCATAAAATTGTTGGAGATGGTGCACCATAGCTATAGCAATTTAACTGAAAGGTTTCACCTGCAGATATATTTGTTGAAGCCGGTCTTTGTCTGATAATAGGACTACGTGGATCGTCTAAAATAAAGTTATAATTATTACAGGG